ATTATTATTATTAATTATTATTATTATTATTATTATTATTATTATTATTATTATTATTATTATTATTATTATTATTATTATTATTATTATTATTATTATTATTATTATTATTATTATTATTATTATTATTATTATTATTATTATTATTATTATTATTATTATTATTATTATTATTAATTATTATTATTATTATTATTATTATTATTATTATATTAATTATTAAATTATTATTATGGTACCTGGATTGTTCATGAAAAAACCAATAGCATGCATCAATTCATGAATTATGGTGCCGGATTGAATGCAGTCCGCTTCTAGTGAAACCGGTTGACTTCCACCAGCCCGTCCAACTAATGAATAACAACCGTCATGTGGCATAATGTAAAGATAGTCATTATGTTGATTACGAACACGTGGAACAAATCGAACACAGCTTATGTCATGAAATTTTTGCATTGCTTTTGCAATTACTGAGCGCGAATATGGCCCATAACGTGAGCTAATTGCATATGGAATTTCACCATTTGGCCAACGTCTAAAATAATATTAATTCAAAGGTTAATTTTTTTAAGGAAACATACATGTGGACTTACATATCTAATTAGATTTGAATGAATTAAATTTTTAAAATTGATAATTCTTTAGATTGTAGTTATTTGTTGTCAAAAAATTTCAGCTGATAATATTCGAGTATATTAAAATTTTTTTTTTATCATTGTCCGTAAAACACATATGTAAATATTACTTTGATCATTGTAACATTACTGCAAGTTTAACAAATAAAATCATTTTTAATAACTATTTGTATTTGTTGTAAAATTTAATGCAACCTGTAAAATTGTCTTACAGCACTTCGTTCTAAACGACTATTTCGATAATCAATAAATCCTTTAAAATTTGGTAAAGCAATATCTCCTTCAGTCATGTTACCCATCGTTGGATCAGACTTTATTTGAATACCTAATAGAGTCAGATTAAACTCTTTTTCGGGTGCTCTTGCAAAATCACTAGCTGTTAACGTTGTTTCTTCATCAATTCCATTTTCATTAATCACCTAAAAACAAGCAAAAGGTGCAGACTTTATTAAATGTAATGAAATATTTTTGAAGATTATTGCAACTGTAGAAGAAGAAGGCAAAAAGTAGTACTTAATTCGTTTTAGTACGAAATTTCAATACTGTAAATTTAATACTTTTTGTTTTAAAAAAAAGACAAAAAAATTTAGTGCTTTTTGCTTTTACTTTGACTGAAATTTAAATTTAATTATGTTAAGTTAGCTTCAAATCTAGCAATATTATGCTGTATTTCAACTTTTTAAATCTGAAATTTCAGAAATTATGCTTGGTTAATAGGACTAAGCAAATTAATAAAATTTGAAACATCTTACATCCTCAAGTTTTATACCCACTGCCAAATTTAGCAATAAAACAAATTGGAGTGTTAAAAAATATACAGATTTTGGTAGCACTGCCATTGTTGAAAACAACTGCTGAAATTAACGGACTGACAGTAATTACAATATGCGTTATATATATTATTATTGTTATTATTATTATTATTATTATTTATTATTAT